ACCATCGCAACCGAGACCTTACATCCATAACGACAGTCCCATGGGGGTTGGTGAGGGTGGGTTCCTCTGACCACATAATCTGAATCCATAATCCATTGCACTCCACTCCACACAGCCAGTCCACCAGGGTCAGTAATCAATGAGATCAGGTTGTGTCCTGTCCTGGGGCCCCGCACCCTCCTAGGGACGGCCCTGATTATTATTATTATTATTATTATTATTATAACATTTTCGCCCCCAGGCCCTGATGTGGGTCAGTGACCTGTGCTCGGGTGTGCTAATCCCCGTAAAAAAATAAAAATAAATAAAATAAAAATTAAGGAAGCCGTTCCATACGTCAAAGCGTGCCGTGAGAAGTGTTTTTGTTTCAATGTGTAGCCGTGTCCTGAAAAGATAAAACCAACCTCCTAATTGCTACGTGGCCCCAGTGTTAGGCTTAAATCCCTTGTACCATTTTCACCCTTTATTTAATATATTCTATATCTTTTACTACTCCTACTTATATTCATTATTTTATTTAATCTGAATCAGCCGAGTAACCATGATTCCGACCGTATTTTTTCGGTGACCGGTAATAAAGTCACAGGAAAAAAAGTCAGAAAAAAGTCACAATTTTGCCTAGGAAAAAAGTCACATTTAAGGTAATAAAACTAAAAATATTTTAAAACAGTTATTAACTGACAATACATGACTTTTATATATTGACAACACAATTTATATATGATGCACGTAGGTTAGGTTAGGTGACTTTTTTCTGTGACTTTTTTACCTGGATTCATTTTTTCACATGTATAAATATATTGTACACTAAAAATACCGCTGTATGAAGGGCTTGTTAATTTTGATGGCAGCTGATCTTATCACCGATAATTGCTATATCCTCACAAAAACATTTCAACAAACATGGCAGTATTTGCGGGAGGCAAGCAGTTAACTCGCCAACAGGGCGCTTAAGTCTATATGCACAAGGCGGCTGAGCACACAGAACAGAGTAAAGTAAAGTTTAATCTGAAGGGACCGCTCTCACCACCTGCCACGGATACTGACTCTGAGTGACGCTCCTCAAACTACCTGACGTAACCATGAAATTCAAATCGCTATATTATTGAGAGCTTTGTTAAGAATATACTATACGTTACTCCCATAATGTATATCTCAGATAATTATAATGAATGGACAGGGTTTGCTGTACTGAAGTGTTCAATACAAAATGTATGGATGAAGCCTACACTGAATATATCTATAAGCGCACCTTATATGTAAGGGTGACGCACCAAACAGATGTCACGCAGTAATAAATAGCCAATGGTCAAAGATACACACACTAACTATGCACATGTATCATAACTAGTACAACCAAAATACCATGATAATAAATATACGCAAGCATTCATATCATCTATTAGTGTACAAGTGGCAGAATGTTGTGCTGTACTAATTCGTACTAGTGTAATATAAAGTGAATCTAAGGTGTTTGCGTTCTTGCGTGTATAATCCAGCATGTATTGAAGTAGGTATATTACCTACAGTATCTATATTTGCATAATGTACATCAAGGACTACACTATCGATAAGCTACACTTCATCAACTACAATACACTATCAGCTATGCTACATTAAAGGCTTCCCGCACACATGCAATTTTTAGTTGGTCGATTGTTTATCGGCCAATTCGGTTTTTATGCACGCACCAGCCGACTTGCAATTCACAGTTGGTCAATTTATTTCAGTTGTATTATGGACTTCATCGAAATAGCTTGAGCGTTGGTAATTTGTCAAAGGAAACAAACGTAAAAAAACAGTACTGGGTTCATCCACTTACAAGCCAACGGCTGATTAAAGGACAATTTTACAAATTTTATGAAGATTTACGGGCCTACCCAAATATATTTTTTTAATTACTATAGAATGAGCGTCAAAAGTCTTGAACTCTTGTTCCTTGTTGGGCCTTCAATAACATATCAGAATACCAAATGGAGGAATAGCATCCTCCTTGAGGAAAGGCTATCTGGCACTTTAAGCTACAGACGGTGAAGACTTCGCCTTCGGAAGTGAGACCGTGAGAGTTGGTCAACAGTTCGCTGCTAGTGCATTCCCATACGTTGAAGCCTGCATGCACACAGGCGAGTTGACCAAATATTCCATTGTGCTCAAGTTGTAGCATATCACAAACTTTTCAGGTGCCCAACTATTGAATTGCAAGCGCGCGCGCTCCAATTTGGCACAATGAGTCTGAATTATGCAATTAAACTTGGCCGACTAAAAATCGCATGTGGGGGGGGGGGCTAACTAAACTATCACCAACTTTACATCAACTACACATCAACCATCAATGGTTCATCTACATTACACCAACTTCATAATCATCAACATTACCACCTATGCTACATTAACTACACTATTACCCACACTCCATAAATTACAGTAACAATTCAATTCAAATTCAATACTACCCTACCATCTACGGGGCCGCTGGGGAAATGTTATTGTACAGTATGGCTCCCACACTCCTCCCCCCAGGCGATTTTTTTTTCTTTGAGCCAAATGTAAAAAGTAACGAACTACTGAAACAAATTATCAGCGGCTATGACCTTTAGGTGGGAAAATAAGAAAACGACGCTACAACACAGACGGCTAATAAACAAATAAATTATAAGGGTTTGGAAAGAACTGGAAATCTTAGTGTACTGTAGCGGACACTTTTTCGCGAAGTGTTAGGGCTATTGTATGCACGTGTTATTTTGTTTGTTTTTTCTATCGTTGGAATAACCCATGACTGCTTCATCCATCCGCGGGCAGTAATACCAGTCTCCCAGCTCTTACCTCGGCTCATTCAGTATGCGTAAACTGATCTCTTTTGATAAGCCAATTCCTCGTCCACAAGTTTTTATTTTTTTCCTTTTTCTGAACAGTCACAGCATACGAGCCCAAAAGCTTCAGTTCAGTCCAGAAGAGGACTGAGATAATAAGCTAGTAACAAGTTCAGCATGTGAAAGCTCAGTTTGCACAAACCGGAATTCCAAAGTCCGACCGACAGCCGAACTAAAGTTGCCCTGTCAGTAGATGTAGTGTGTGAATTACAATGTTAATTATTGTTTGTGCTCTGCGCGTTTGTGTCTGTGCATAATGTAGTAGGCGCACATGCATGTGTTTGTGAACGTACGGGTGACCACTGTACATAAACATAAGGAGTCTGCAATAGGCCGGTTGGCCTGTGCATGGCAGTTACTACCACTATCATCCAGCGTTCCAGCACTTACTATAAAGTTACTAATCTTGTTCCACTCGTCCACCACCCTATTTGTGAACCAATTCCTTCTATCTCCCTCCTAAACCTAAACTTATCCAACTTAAATCCGTTGCTTCGAGTCCTATCCTGCTCGGATATTATAAGAACTTTATCTATATCTCCTTTATTGATTCCTTTCACCCACTTAAATACTTCTAACATATATCCCCGCACTCTTCGTCTTTCTAGGGAATGCAAGTTTAGTTTCTTTAACCTATCTTGATATGGAAGGTTTCTAAGTTCCGGAATCATTTTCGTCATTCTTCGCCGCACCGACTCCAGTGAATTTATATCCATTCTATAATAAGGGCACCAGAACTGAACAGCATAATCGAGGTGCGGCCTGACTAGCGCAAGATATAGTTGCAACCAACTAGACAAAATCTTGGAGAAACAAGAACTTCCACCACCACTACCCGTCTCCTGTACTGACGTTTGTGTGTCGCGGAGAGATACAGTGTGCAATCCCATGACAGTGAGACCAAGCTTACAGACGCCATGAAATGCACATTTCCAACTACGCGCATTGTACTGTATGTACACTGCACACACTTCCAGCCACCAGAGAGCAGGTTAACATGCTCTCGTCTTAGGCCCATCCCTCCCTTGACCAACTTTAATTTATCCTCTTCACTTCTGACCAACAACCCTATACTTCACCGCTTTAACTCAAGCAGCGTGGCCCACGCCTCCCTTGTCTGCCCTTGACCAACGTCCCATTTGACCGCGTTGACCCACGCCTGCCTTTACCACAAGGACAAGACCCATGACTCCTTTGTTCTCGAACCTGACTTTTTTACAACATTCGTTTCTGGAATTTGTTGATAGGGCACCAATACTACAATTTGTTTATTTTAAAATTAAGATATACAGTATAACATGATACCAATGCTATACTTGAATCATATTAATATACAGTATTTAGATGTATGAATGCACATTATAATTATTATCAACACTGCAACTGTCACACAAGAAAAAAGTCGGCTCAACGTGGTTTAAATAATTCGTCGCTAAAGTTTGCGTTAACCAAGATAAAAGGGGAGCTGCGTGTCTGCCCACTCATACTTTTATCCTCTTCGTCAGTGATCGGCGGTGGGTCACGTCTGTCATGCACTGATGGCAAGTACTGGACACGTACTTTTTTTCTCTTTAACTAGTGCAGGTAATGTTAACCATAAGCATTAGAGCATCTCTCCAGCGTTCCTAATGCTAACAATATCTTCCATTAACAGGGCACAGGGTACATTCATGAACCCGGTATTAGGCCTACGCGCCCAAGTGGCGCTGTTAGGACCAAGACATTCACAGGACAGGGTAATGTTGATAGCACAACGCAATGTTTTGGACAACAGTAGCCGGAGCCAGACTAGCCAGTAAAGGCCGATATGAACACAATGCAACAGCCCCATGCACGATAGTTCCAAAACTATCCAACAGCATTTAGACAGGGGAGGGGGGGGAAGAAGGGTTTGTCCGATCGCTAGGCCTTCACTCGCCGTGGTTCTGGCATCTGGCTGTACAATATTGTACCATTCATTGAACGTGTTACTATTCCAGAATAAACTGTACAACATGTATCAATACGAATTCACTGGTAAAACCAATTCTCAATTTTGTACAAAATACTTGAGATGCTTGAAATTAACTCGACAGCGTCGTATGAACAAACTTTGAAAAATTACACTTAATAGGAAAACAATTTTCTTACCTCCTCCATGCTGCTGGTTGACAGATTATGGCACCGTGTATATCTTTACACCATCTAGGATGTATGACCCTAAAGTACAAGTTACAGTACGTGAACTCGCGGCACGCACTTCACGTACACACCAGCACGACGCTAGATACGAGTCTGACTGAGAATCTGAGATTGTCTACCACCAGTCAAACCGCCGCACGACCCACGCCGCCTTACCCCCGCTCCCCCCCCCACCTCCTGCTTTCCTGAACCCCCGACCAGGTCCCTCACTCACCAACACTTTGGTAGAAATGGGTTGAAATAACATATTGATAGCGTTTTAGGCTTCGTTATGGAATGAAGGATAAATTATCCGGTGCTACTATAGCGTGCGGTCTACAAGGATATCTTTAGTTTAACCTAACCTGACCTGACCTAACGTAACCTAATCGAAATATCTTGTAGACCGCACGCTATAGTAGCACCAATTACCCATTCTGCAGGTTCTGTTTGATACTAGAGATTACCTTATTTCCAGGTTGTGAAATCTTAACGTCTTGTACCACCATTGTCTTGTTGCTTCTTCCCTTTACAACCTCTCCCTCTTCCCAATGCCCAACGATCGCATTTTGCGGACTCAATTAAGCTCAACCTGGAAATGCCGGTACAGTTTCCATCTTTGGTTGTGTGAAATTCTTGTCTCGAAGTATATGTAAACGATGGTCGTCCAGGAATTTTGTTTAGTTTATATTAAAACGAAACAGCATGGTGACAAACGATTTTAATTATTAGAAGGGGTAAAAATCATTGGGGAGGAGACTGTAGAGCAAAGCGAGTGCTGGAAAACGTGTTGTGGCGTACGAGAAGCTGAGATTTCCTGAGAATGTTACCGCTAGTCACATGCCTCCCTGTCTCACAGAAGGCCCAGACGTCTGACCTTGCTCGAGTCCTTTAAAAGATAATTAAAAAATAATCTAAGTACGGTCCTTACGAAAAACCCTTCCCATTTATTGGTTTATTCATTATCTAATGCAATTATCTAAACCGGAGTTATTTCAACAACACAATAATTATCCCCTATCCCCTGGGAAGACTGAAACAATGCTATTAAAAAAAAATCGAGAAAAAGTTTTCCTTAATGCCCGTCAGCTGTGGACCGAAGAACCTGTGTTTAGTTCTCATACAATGTCATTTAAATTATATCTGTTCATCGTGATAGTCTTCTTTAACACAAAGTCTAAACGCAAACTAGAAATGAATCAATACAAGATGAAGTTAAGTTTGGATACAAGTGCAAGAGATCATGTTAAGCGTCTGTGGGAGTGGGGGAGGGTTGGGGGGGGGTAGTAAGGGAAACTCATGAATCTGGATCGTGTTTTGAAGACTGTCAGCGGTCTGTATACACACAGGATATCTTGTACCTAACTTCATAATGGTTATAGGTTTGGTTTTGAGCCTTGGATATCTTAGTTACATCAAACTATGGAATCTAAAGCAAGAGCTAGGAAGAGTGAGAATAATGTTGAAGTATCTTGAAACTCTTCTGTGGTGTTGCCTCGCTGTGACCCAAACCAGAATTCACTGGTTAACTGCCACCTGTTTAGGATATTATTATTTCTAATAAGATCGTAAATTCTCTGTTGTATGTGTCAAATTCAAACACGACAGACATACCCTACTATTTCTAGTATAAAGCCCATGAGCAGAATATATAATTTCGAACAATTATTAGCATAGGAACCAAGGAAACGTCCATACGCCGGATGTAAACAAAGGATCGATGACGTCTTAACAAGGAAAGTTTTTAAAATTATATTAGAAAAATGTTTACCTCGTCCATTTTTTGTCTAAACTAAACCATGACTCCCCGAACTATACTATTACCTTCTAATATTGCCTATGAAACATTACAAAGTGTGTACCGAAGCGTTAATGCGTTTATTTTTGTTATTGGCATAGTATCCACTCCGTTTTCTTTTTATAAATTTCATATTGTTTGAAGAAAACGAATTAGAGGGGTAACACAATTAAACGGCTAATCCCATGATTTTGTCCTACTGTACACTCGGCAAGGGGAAGCACTAGTTCCCACATTCGGTTTTGGCAAGCTTAATATTTTTTCTCAACCTTATAGCATAACACTACACAATAAGCGCGATACATAATTTTATAAGCATTCATTAAGATGGTTACATGGAACAACTACATTGCAACTTTTTATTGTGCACAAAAATTATATCTTTGCTCAAGAGACAGGCATACAGATTAACACCATCCCTTAATAACAAATATGCTCGTGTTGCCTTCCCTTATTAGATGTCAAAGTCTCTTATCCTTGAAGACGTGGAGATAATCAGTAACTCACAGAATGACAGACATCAAAGGTTCTTCTCTTCATAAAAAAAACATTTCAGTTTTTATTTTGTTCCTCTAACAATTCTTATGGCTACATGTACAGGGCCATAGATCTGGCTGCCCCGAAGACCACAACAGTTGTACGTATTTAGGTCACTCACACTGCTATATAACCACACACATTTTACATCCTACACTTTATGGACAACTTATAGAACAGCCAGCCAGCTTCGTGCCTCATAAAGTTTATGCTATTACTTAATGACAGACCATTACGTGTACCTCACTTAATCCATGACAAACAAAGTAGGGGAAATGGTGATGTCGAAATAACAGCTTCGGGTGGTTCTAGCGCTGGGTTTTTCTCTCTTCGGAGTTCCCACACTTATCATTCTTATCTTTTTCTTGTTAAATAAGAATTTTTAAGTTCTCATATCCTCATACCAAACAAACAAGATTTTTTGGGGGTGCTAGTGACACTGTTAAGATGTTTACGTAATTTCTTATTACTATGAGTATTAATTCTGCTCAATGAACGGAGTCGAGAAGTATTTAAGCCCAAGCACAGACCAACTATACAAGAGGCGATCAGCTTGACCTCCAGTGACTCAACATATGACGAGGTGCTTTTCCCTAGACTCGAAATACCTCAGTAAAAATACAATGCACAACAGTTTATTGCTCTCCTATACAAGTAGTACATACAAAGTGGCGTTTCCATTCTCCGTTATGATGAAAAAGTCACATGTAAACAACAAGCCCAAAGGGAAGGATGGATGATTGTGCACCTCCACCCATTATAGCGAACCTACAACTCCCTACCTAATTTCAGCTCTCTATCTTCAAAACTTTGGTGATGAATAAGGAACAGAGAGAGAGAGAGAGAGAGAGATTGAGAGAGAGAGTTCTTTTTTTTCATTACCTAAACCATCTCCATTGCCAAAAACAAGCAACTTATCTGTATTCAGCCTAACCCATAATAACCTGTTCTATGGCTCACCCCGTAATAAATTCTTCTGTAGTGTTGGTTGGTTGGTTTAATACGCGATGGCACTGTTAAGCCTTTCGTTTAAAACACCCGTGGCCTGGCTCTACCCCTGATGCTGGGCCTCTGTAAAATACCTGGGACTTAGGGATAGAAATCCCTTACTAGGCTAATCAGGATCTTAATAAAGGAAAGTCAAGGACCATGGTTTTCAGAGGAATAACAAACAACCGTTAGAGATTGACATCATCTCTTTACTATAAAAATATAACACAAAACTCTGACACCACTCAACAAACATCAATTAAGGCAGTCAATAGTTAATGGAGTCAAACAATTAATGGAGTCAAACAATTAAAGGGAGCAAACAATTAATGGGAGCAAACAATTAATGGGAGTCAGCAATTAATAGAAACAAACAATTAATGGGAGTCAACAACTGATAAAATCAAACAATGAACAGATATTTCCTACGGCAGTGGCCCTGGGGGAAGGTTCTGGAACACGGTGATGCACACTCAGGGTAAGGAAGCATCCATTCAACTCTACACTCAAGCGACGTCTTGAAATAGCAGGAGAACACCGGGGCACCGACAGAATGAGATGAACTGGCAGTCGTGGTATGCGGTAGTGGTAGATGACCAGAGAATTGACAGTCGATAGGGGAAGGTCTAGGAACACAGCCCACGAATCCAGGACCTGTGATGAGATCACAGCCAGAATTTGACGGACAGCAGGGCAGCTAGATAGTGACTGTATGGCGGCTGGGTTGAATCTGCCGGTGACCCAGATAGTCGCTGCCGTTCTCACCTCTGTCCAACCGCCCCAAGTGTCGTCTGCACCAGCAAACGAGCGAGTTAGCAGCGGTAACCAGCAGGAAGATCTTTCCGCCCTTACAGCCTCAATCCTCTGTATTAGTGCATTTTCCGCCCCACTTCCTTTTCAACCCAGCAGAGGGCTAAGGCTATGTGTTGAGGCTTGAGGGTATATCCGTCCAACACTATGATCAGTTTCCATTCTTTCCCATATTAGTATTGTAGACGTGTTATGGTCGGCGGGTAGAATAATTATTGTCTCGGTACTCATTAATTAAGCTGGAATACAAGTCACCGAGGTAGAGATTGTTCTGGACCGCTTTTCATGCACACTTTGCAATACTCCAATACAATAACCTTCAACACGCTCGCTTCTATTGTTCTGCTATCATAGACATTCAACTAAATGGGGGGAGTCAATGACCACAGTATACGAGTATAATATGGAATAAGATCTGGTACAATACTTTGGTGAGCACTAACTAACATTGTTTCTCACTCCCACTTAGGTTGTTCTTGGCTGCATGAACTTCTATGCCTGCCCGGGGATATAATGAATTATGTTACACACACACACACACACACACACACACACATATATATATATATATATATATATATATATATATATATATATATATATATATATATATATATATATATATATATATATATATATATATATATATATATAAAGTTTCCGGAGAGAATCGCCTACATCGGATCAGATCCAGATTCAACCCCAAATTTGATAAAAGTTCGATAAAATGGTTCTTAAGTCAGATTTGTGGATCTGTGTACAAAACATTGCCTTGGGAACGAGGCTACGACCGTGATATGTGAGGTCTCCGATAGTGAATTGATTACAGTACTTGTCATGGTGAGTTAGAGGAGCCACTACTTGTCATGGTGACGTTAGAGGAGCCACTACTTGTCATGGTGACGTTACAGGAGCCACTGCTTGTCATGGTGACGTTAGAGGAGCCACTACTTATCATGGTGACTCTACAGGAGCCACTACTTGTCATGGTGACATTAGAGGAGAC